CTTTAATTAACGATAGTGGCGTATCTAACCATTCCTGGTGTCGTTTCTCAAAATACATTTTATTTTTAGCACAACTCTTCCACCTTTCAACAAGCCTGCTATTAAAATTTTGTAGTTTCCTACCAACTTCGCAACGCTGCTGAATACTTAGGTTGTTATTTTTAAGAACTGTGCCGAAAGCGTAGTTTTCGATAGCAAGAAACTTCTTCCTGGGTATTTTTTCGTCCAGCCATACTAAGTAAAAATTGCGTTTTGGTACTGAGGTCATTGTGTCTAAAAAATGATAGATTGATGGGTAGTGGGTAGTAGCGGTTCAACTAAGACATTTTGAACACTCAATAAAACACGCTTTCACAAAATTTTAAACTTAACTTGAATACGCTTGAATTTTATTAATTTCTAATCCACGAAATACAGGTGTAGGCTACCAATATCATGTTGTTAATACAATTAAATTCAACTGAGTTTTATAAGTAACACATACATAAACATATTCTACATATAGTACTTACCTTGATGTAAGCTATAAAGTAAACTTTTAAGTTAATAGGAAAAAATGGTATTATTTACAGCGAAATGAAAAGAACATTCTATAAGGCAAAAAAAAAATCGTAAAGCACTTGCTAAAAAATATGTTGTGTTTGATAGGTAACAGCTGTTCGTATTTGCTTGGAAGTGGTAATTAACTATCGATTATTAACTAATTGAAGTATGCGTTATCGATAGGAAATGCAAAATTTCTGCATTATTAAACTTGAAAATTGAATAAAACGCCGCTAGCGCATCCAAATCGCCCACTGTGCGCTGTTCCCATTTAATAAAGCTAACACCAACTGAAAGAATAGAGTTTTTAAAGAACAACAATGCTTGCCTGAATTGTCTGAGTTCTGGACATACTGTATCAAGATGCACAAGCCCTTTCAATTCCAGCACGTGTCACTCGCGCATCATATGCTCCTGCACACTCAGACAATTCCGCCAAAGGCAACACCGCCTCAAACGCCAAATTATTTTGTTCGGCTTGAAGAAAAATGTTCTCAGTACACTTCTTGCCCAAGAAACCGTGTTCGGTTGGATTTTACCGGTTCCACAGAAGCACCAAATCCAACAAACAACATAGTTTCTTATCATAGCGAAGTTGCCTTGGATAAACAACTAACCGCTTCCTAGGAACTAGAAGATATACCGAAAAACAAAAATTTAAACGAAGACAAGTATTGTGAAGAGCTTTATCGGAAAACGACTGAGAGAAACCCAGATGGAAAATATATAGTCTCGCTACCATTTAGGCAGGAATTTCCAGCAAACATTTGCCAAGGCCCCTCTCTTAAAAAAGCATGCTCTCAGTTCTTTCGGAATGAGACACGGCTTACAAAAGATCCCGTCCTGCAAAAGGAGTATAATAGGGTACTAACAGAATATGAATCACTGGGACACATGTCCAGAATAAATGGTAGCATTTCAGCAGACTCTTCCGATAACTATTATTATTTTATGGCCACACCATTGGAGGAGCACGACACTATTATGAAAAGGGCGATGCTGTCAGCGATCGCCAAGCTTTTTGATCCACTGGGATGGCTCGCACCAATAGTCATCGTAGCCAAAATACTCATGCAAAGTATTTGGCTAGAAGGCACAGACTGGGATGAGACTGTGCTACTATTTTAGAACGTTGGCAGCATTTTACGAGACATTTTACCACGAAATAGATAATATCAGAATATCCCGATGGGTATACTTCTCACCTGGAGATACTATCGAGATACATGGTTTCTGCGACGCATCAGAAAAAGCATATGCGGCTACGGCATATATGCTGTCAAAAGAGATGACAAAATTTTGGTCAATCTACTTTTGGCAAAAACCAGAGTAGCCCCCGTCAAAACTATATCGCTACCACGACTGGAGCTTAGCGGAGCCGTGCTGCTCGCAGAAATCATAGAATCTACAATCAACAATCTCAACCTAGGACCAGTGAAGACACATCTATGGACGGACTCGACCATCGTACTCGTATGGATACGAAAGCCGCCTTGTTCTTGGTCAACCTTCGTCGCCCACCGAATTACGAAAATCGTAGAAAAAGTAGGGGAAGAGGACTGGCTACACGTAGACTCGGCCTCAAATCCAGCCTATTTGGCTAGCAGAGGACTACCTCAACAATTGGCCAACAATTCTTTGTGGTGGCAGGGACCTTCTTGGCTGCAAGAAGACAACTCCAAGTGGCCCGCTCAAGGAA